TGGGTCAGCCCGCCCCCCCCCCCCGGCCCCCCGCCGCGGGGGGGACGCACGGTGGGGACAGGGCGGCAGGGCCCCGCGCCCCCCTCACCGCCCCGCGCCCCCCAGGGGTGGTGGTGCAGAGGGGGCCGAGCGAGGAGGAGGTGGAGATCTTCGCCCCCGTCGTCATCTCCGACGCCGGCATCTTCAACACCTTCGGCAAGCTGCTGCCCCCCCAGCTCCGCAGCCACCCGGGTACTGCGTCCCCGTGTCCCGCATCCCTGCGGTCCCCACGTCCCCAGCATCCCCGTGTCCCCAGCGTTCCCGCATTCCCAGCATGCCCGTCTCCCTGGCATCGGCAGCGTCCCCATGTCCCCCGGCATCCCCGGCGTGCCCTCCGCAGGGATGAGGCGTCATCTCCCTCCTCCCGCCCCGCGTCCCCGCAGGCGTCCGCTCCCGCCTGGCCATGGTGCGGCACGGCATGGGCTCCTTCCTGGTGTTCGTGGGGCTGCGGGGCAGCGCGGCCGAGCTGGCCCTGCCCGCCACCAACTTCTGGATCTACCCCCACAACGACCTGGACGCCATGTAAGGGGCCCCCGGGCACCCCGGGGTGTGTGCATGGCGGGGGGGGTGGGTGCACGGTGCGGGGAGTGGGTGCACGGTGGGTGTACGGCGCTGCCCGCTCTGCCCACAGGATGACCCACTACACCGCTCTGAGCCGCGACGACGTCCCTGAAAACCTGGCCATGATGTTCATCACCTTCCCCGCCGCCAAGGACCCCACCTATGAGCAGCGGCACCCAGGTATGGAGTTGGGGGGCCCCCCCTGCCCGTGTCCCCCCTGCCCGTGTCCCCCCCCAGCTCTGCAGCCCTGATCCGCTCAGCTTTGCGGGCTCGGAGGCTCCTTGATCCCACCAGCCGGGATTACGGGGTGGGCACTGCCACCGCTGCCACGTCCCGGGCTGCCACCGGCACCGGGGTCCCCCACGATGGGACGGGGGTTGTCACCAGTTGTCACCCCCTCCTCACAGGCCGGTCATGCATGACCATTCTGACCATGGCGCGGTACGAGTGGTTCGAGGAGTGGGCCGGGACCCGCGCCAAGCACCGGGGTCCCGACTACCAGCAGTACAAGCTGGCCATCGCCCAGCGCCTGCTGGAGCGGGCGCTGCAGCGCTTCCCCCACCTCCGTGACAAGGTGACGGGGTCCCCACGGTGTCCCCCGCCACGCGGGGTGCCTGGCGGGGACGGTGCACGGTGGGGACAGGGTGTTCTGCAGGGATGAAGGGGGCTGTAGGGATGGGGTGCCCTGGTGCCCCGTGGGGTTGAGGTACCTCTTCAGAGTTGGGGTGCCCCGCAGGGATGGGTGCACGGTGGAAATGGGGGGACTGGGTGTCCTGTGGGGATGGGGTGCCCAGCAGGGACTGGGTGCCCTGTGGGGGTGAGATGCCCAGGCAGGGCTGGGGGGGGGCAGTGGGAATGGGGTACACAGTGGGAATGGGGTGCCCTACAGGTTTGGGGTGCCCAGTGGGAATGGGGTACACAGTGGGAATGGGGTGCCCTAGAGGTTTGGGGTGCCCAGTGGGAATGGGGTGCCCTGCAGGGTTTGGATACCCCCTGGGAATGGGGTGCCTTGTGGGATGGGGTGCCCTGCAGGGCTAAGGTGCCCCATGGGCATGGGCGCAGAGTGGACATGGGGCGCAGAGCAGGGACTGGGTGCCCAGGCAGGATGGGGTGCCCTGTGGGGATGTGCTCGGTGGGGACGGGGTGCCCTGTGGGGTTGGGGTGCCCAGCGGGGACAGGGCGCCCTGCAAAGCCATGGGGCATTGCAGCCCCCAGGACCTTTGCATGGGGTGGGCACCCACTGGGTAGACTTGGACCTGTTGCGGTGGGACCTGCTGTTTGGTGGGATGGGTCTACCCGTGCCCGCTGTGCCCTGGGTACCCCCACGTGCCCTGTGCACCACACCTGTGTGCCCCAAGCACCCCGACGTGCCCCGAGCACCCCCCATGCCCCTGCCTGGGCAGGTGGAGTTCATGGAGGCGGCGTCGCCGCTCACCAACCAGCACTACCTGGCGGCTCCCCGCGGGGAGATGTACGGGACCGAGCACGATGTCGGCCGCTTCAGCCCGGCCGTGGTGGCTGCCATGAGAGCCGAGACACCCGTGAAGAACCTCTACCTGACGGGTAAGGGACCTGTGTCCCCATGTCCCCCTGTCCCTCTGTCCCCATGCCCAGCTCCAGGCTGCAGACGGTGTCCCCAGGGGCTCCCTGCAGCGTGGGGTTGGTCCCTCATGGTGGTGGCCATGTCCCCCATGATGGTGGCTGTGTCCCTCCTGTGGGTGGCTGTGTCCCACCGTGGCTCGTCCCCAGGGCAGGATGTGTTCAGCTGCGGGCTGGCGGGAGCCCTGCATGGGGGGCTGCTCTGCGCCTCCACCATCCTGGGCCGCCTGCTCTACCTGGACCTGCTGCTCCTCAAGAAGAAGATCAAGCGGCGCCGGGGCCGGCAGGCGGCGTGAGCGGCCAGGGGCACTTGCCACGGGGATGGCCCTGTGCTGGGGAGCGTGCTCCCAACTCAATAAACCACGACATCCCGCTGGCCTGGGCCCGTCTCTTGTGGGGATGGGATGGGAGGGCATGGTGACAGGGACAGGGACAGCATGAGATGGGATAGGATGGGGATGGGGATGGGGACAAGGTGGGGATGGGGATGGGGACAGGGATGAGGATGGGATGGGGATGGGGATAGGGACGGAGATGGATTCACTAGGGCAGCAATTGTCCCCCTGTGCTGGGCACTGGTGAGGCTGCACCTCAAATCCTGTGCTCAGCGCTGGGCCCCTCACCCCAAGGCGGCCATGGAGGGGCTGGAGCGTGGCCAGAGCAGGGCAGCGAGGCTGGGGCAGGGGCTGGAGCCCAAGGCTGGGGAGGAGCGGCTGGGGGAGCTGGGGG